ACTCTTCAGATAGTCTTTGGCCTTTTCCAGGTGAAACTTCAATGATCCCTCGGTGCTTAGCTGCCTCAGTTGGTCCAACAGCTGGTCGAGGTAGGCCTCCTGGGCCTGGCAGCCCCCCCGAAAACAGGAGGAAGCAGATGGGAGTTACCAGAGCTTGCAGGGTGGAAGTGACATGCAGAGTGGAAGTGATCCTGCCACTGGAACTGAGGTCCAGGTGCCCAGGGCAGGCCCAGGACTCTCCTTTTTTACAAAAAGGGCACTGCTCTAGGCCTCGGGCTCTTCTCTGTGCCTGGCATGTCCTTCTCTGTCCACTTTACATCCCCGGGACCCAGCTCCGGGGGGACTTCTCAGGGACCTGTCCCTTACACCCACCTAGCCTCGCCCATCACACCTTCCTGTGGCCCCTGCTCCTCACTCTCATACTTGAAATCCTGATGAGAAGACCCCATCCACTCCCACCTGTGTGAAGGCAGGTGGGGCGGGGGCCAGCTCCCTGCCGGAAGTAGATGCTCCACACCAGCGGTCGCCAATTGGTGGTCCGTGAGGTCCGAAAGGTTGGCGACCGCTGCTCCACACCCTTAGTCTGTCTGTCTGTCATGCACACTCTCTTACAGACACATCTGAATCCAGGGACCCTTTGCACAGCCCAGACCGGACTCAGGTGGTCCCATGACCAAGGTGAGCCTCAATTTCCCACTGGCTCAAGTTTTACAGCTAGCTTGAGGTTTTACATTTGACATAAATGTGTATGGTGTGAAGTGTGGGTCAAAGTTGTATGTTTTTTCTTTTTTTGCATTTGAATGCTGGCTAAGTTCACAGGCCACCAAGCAGAACCCTCAGGCAGCAGACAATCTGGGCACAGCCCCTCCCACCTCCACCGTGGGAGTTCCCCGGGGAGCTGGAGCCATACCTGGCACTGCAGGCTATGCTTCCGGCGCTGCTGCTCCATCCGCTTATCGAGCTGCAGCTCCTGCACAGACAGCATGTCCTGATGTGCCTCCCACCGCTGCACGGCCTCCTGGAAATAGCTGAAGAGGTCCAAGCTCTGCCACTCTGCCCGCTTCTTTAGGGCCTCAAAGGATTTCTGCAGTTGCAGAACCCAGAGAAGGGGCCCTGAGTGCCAACTGCTCCCAGGTGAAGAGGAGGGCCCCGTTCACAGGCTCCCTCTCCAAACAGGGGAGGCCTCATGTCTCCAAGGACTGGCCATTACCGCGCCTCAAAGTCATCTTTTGGGGCTCACCTTGGCTCATGGCCCTCCCTCCTCTGGGACAACACTTCTAGTCTGCCCAAGGTCATACCCTTGGTGTGGCTGACCCTGAAGCCCCATGTCTAGACCTGCCCCATGGCCTCTGAAGTCACTGACAGGAAGAAGATGGAGTTTGGGGTTTGGAAACTGGCCTGAGCATCCGGGTGGCTGCACCCATCTTGGCCGGGGCATCTTTCCCTCCGTGAAACTCCGTAACTCTCAGAGCCAACACCTCACTCTGCTATGAAACCCTCAACTCTACTCCACCCCCTTTCGTTAATCCTCACCCAAGGATATGTTTTCCATTGCTTTTCAGAGAGAGAGAGTGGGAGGGGAGAAGAGAAAGTGAGGAGAGGGGAAGAGGAGAGAGAGAGAGAGAGAGAGAGAGAGAGAGAGAGAAACATCGATGTGAAAGAGACACATCAATTGGTTGCTTTCTGCATGAGCCCAGAGCAGGGGCGGGGAGAGAACCCAAAACCCAGGTATGTGCCCTTGACCCTTAGGTGTGCAGGCCAATGCTCTAACCACTAAACAACATTGGCCAGGGCCTCGCCTCTCCCCCTTTTAAAAAATCTATGAACCTTATGCTCTCATCAGTGTTGGGGGTCAGCAAACTCGGCCTGTGGGCTAAACGTGACCTCCATCCTTTTCTGTTTGGCCCTGGGAGCTAAGCACAGAGCTTATATTTTTAAATGGCTGGGAAAAATTAAAAGAAGATATTTAATGATGTGAATATTACATGTAATTTTAATTTCAGAGTCCAAAAGGAAAATTGCGTTGAAACACGGCCACATCCTTTCGTTTCTATGTCGCCCTGGGCTGCTTTTGTGTGACAACAGTATCATGAGCATTTGTTACAGAGCCCTGACAGCCCGCGGAGCCTGAAATATTTACTCTCTGGTCCCTCACAGAAAATGTTTGTTGGCCTGATTCCAGATTCTAAGCATCATGGGGCAGGGTTTACTGCTCCTGTGGCCCTGCAGCACCCAGACTGAGCAGGGGCTCGAGGAGCACTCGAGGGTTTCCGGGGCATCCTGTGTTGTATGGTGCCAGCGGGTGACGGGAGCCTGGCTGAGAGCCTGGACTGCCCTGAAGGGGGGCATGATGAGGGAAATGGACTCAGGCCTCTGGCATCCCATTCTTCTCAGGGCCCAGCTCCCCGGGTGACCCGCCCTGCTCCCCGGCGGCAGGGGTCCCCAGCCACGCACTTCCAAGGACTCCAGCTCCTCCTCCACCTTGGCCTGGAGCACTCCCACCATCTGCAGGAAGGCTGGGCTCACCGTGCTCTCTGCCTCCTCCTCGCTGAAGGCTTCCCAGTCCAGCAGCTGCTTCTGGGGGGACAAGGCAGAGCCTGGCCGGGCTGGGGGGGGGGCTCTGCCCCGGGGCCGGGGCCTGGCCCCTGAGACCCACCTCCCCCTAATCCCTGAGACCCTCAGGGAAACCCTCACAGCAGTGAAGATGGTCTGTCTTTGCGGTCTGCCCACTGTGTCCAGGTGCTGTGTGCTGCCCTCTCCTTGTCTTACTGCCTCCCCCGGATGTGTTCTCATTGGCCCCATTTTTAAGACAAACATGTTTTTATTGATATCAGAGAGGAAGGGAGAGGGAGAGAGAGAGAAACATCAATGGTGAGAGAGAACCATTGATCGGCTGCCTCCTGCATGCCCGCTACTGCAGATTGAGCCTGCAACCCAGGCATTGACAGATGAGGAAACCGAGGCTCAGAGAAGCCGGAGGCAAACAGCTGGCACATGGTGGGGCCAGAATCGGAACTCAGCATTGCTCCACTGCAGACCCCACAGGCACAACCTGCCATCCTGCGTGGCTTCGGCGTGGCTGCAAGTCAGACAGGGCTCCCATTTCCTGTAAATGACTTACGCTAACTAGAAAGTGGGCTCTCTCTATCAACAAAGCTTCGGTTTATGCATAAAATCTAAAATACACTAACCTCCCCAAATTAAAAATTGGTCTGCCGTTCAATGTTTCCAGTGCTGCCGAAGAGGAATGCCAAGTGTCCTCTGTCAAGCTTAATGCACCCTTAGGATATGGGACTTCAGCACTCACCCCCTGCGCCGGGCAAGGGACAGTGACAACGGGCACATGTGTCAGCTCTCAGGGCCAAGGTCGATGGAGCTCTGGGGGAAGTCCTGGGCAGCAGGGGAGAGCGGGGGCAGGAGCTCTCAGAGGATACAGGCTTTACTTCTGAGGTGTGACTGGGAAGCGCCTGGCTGTCCCTAAGGCCACAGAGCAAATGGGCAGAGCCCTGTGGGCGTGGGCAGCCCCTCGGCCTTTCACACATGGGTCTCCTCATCTCCAGATGGGGCTGGCGACGCCCACTCTGCAAAACCGTGTAGGATTCAATGACAGGGTATGCCAGTAGGTGGCACAGGCCACAGAAAGAGCAGCACCCAGGCCGTGCGTCACTCTGTGAAGTGCTCTGCTCACCTTAGAGTCCTGGTGGCTGAGCAAAAGCTGGGCAGACATGTGAGGGGTGGGGCAGCAGCAGCATGTGGGTTGGGGGGGCGGGCGGGCTGCAGGTGGGGCCCTCAGAGCCTGGGGACTCCTCCTGCCACAGCCGGCACGCTAGACCCTCTTCACAATGATGGGCTTTTTTGTGATTTTTTTTTTTTTAATTTAAACAGTTTTACTGAGGAGGCAGGGAGAGAGCATTTTGACAAAATAGTTCCTTGCGCCCCAGAAAGCCACTGAAGGGGTTTGTGGGTGAACTCGCTGGCTCACCGTCTGACAGAGTTGGGCGCGGCGAAGAGCACTGGAAATACCCCCATACGCCCTCCGCGGGATAAATGACGGCAAGTGCTGTGACACGGAGTGTCAAGGGTGAGGTCTGAGGTGCTCAGGGAGCATAGCACTTTGCCTGTGAGATCTGGGAAGGCTTCCTGGAGGTGATCATTCATGTTGGGCTACACCCTGAGGGCCAGGCGGGAATAACTGGGGAGCTCAGGGTCCAGACAGAGGGAAGAGCTTCAGAATACCCATAGCCAGTGAAGGCCTGGGGCCTGCGAGAAAGGAAAGCAGGGGGCCCGGGGGGGCGGAGAGAGGCAGGGCGGGCCAGGGAGGGGACAGCAGGCCGAGGCAGGCAGGGGCACCCACCTTGCACTTCTCCATGTGCTCCAGGCACTCCTGCCAGGTGTTCTCATACTGTACGCGGAGCTGCATCATGCAGTCCGTGTGGTAGGAGTCTCCACGGGCAGAAACAAAACATGTCAGCTGCTCTTCCAGAAGGAAGAGGGGCGATAGAAAGAGGAGTTCCCCCTTTGCTAAGGGCAGCGTCTTCTCCCCAGGAAAATGCCTGAACCAGGACTACAGAGCTCACCCAAATTATCCTGGCTCTCCTGGCTCTGCCAGCCAGGGCTTGGCGGTCCCATATGAGCCCTCAGAACGTATGCTTCCCTTCACACCCATCCCATCTCCCCCAGGAGGGCCTTGCCACCCGTTCCTGAGTTTATAAGGAACTCTCAGATATATGATTGACTGACTGACAGCGGAAGTTGCTACGAAGCTACTGATTGAGCAGCGTTCTGGAGAGACCCGAGGGAAATCCCGCAAACCCCACTCACCAAGGCTGTTGTTGATGGAGTCCAGAGAAGAATACCATTCATCCAGCTGAGCTTTGCTGTAGTTGGGGGGCAGAAGGTCGCTGGGAAGGAAGACAGGACAAGTAAGCCAGGCCTGAACGGAACCCCCACTGACGGAAATGGGTGGATCTGCAGGGAGCCTGCTCTGGAGCACTGTCTGTGACTTGTCGGGCTTTCCTGCTGCCACGTACATACCTCATGAAAAAGTAACTCATATGAACAAGCCTGTTACTTAGAAAAGAAAACCGAATTTTCCTAATGGGAAAAAAACAACAACACACAGCTTACCGCACTTGAGCAAGGAAACCACCTTTGGGAACCTGATCTGAGATAGCAATACAAAATGCATACAAAGTTATGCTTTAAGACAGTCACTTAACATTACTGTTTACAAACACACAAAAATCACATCCTTCATATCCAGCAATAGGGAATTGTCCAAGTAAAGCACAATGAATCCTCTTGTGAAGTCATTAAAAAAGTATGCAGCTAGCTGGTTTGGCTCAGTGGATAGAGCGTTGGCCTGCAGACTAAGGGTCCTGGGTTCGATTCTGATCAAAGGACAGAAAAAGGACATTAGTGGGAAAACGGGTAAATCTGAAAAAGGCTGGTGTTTAGTGACTGGAAAAGCATCAAAGTTTAGCTTCTCAGTTTTGACAAATGTCCAGTTGTAACAAGATGATGACACGAGGGAAACTGGGTGAGGGATAGACAGGAATGCTGTGGACTATCGTTGTAACTTTCCGGTAAATCTAACATTACTCCAAAATATAAATGTGTGTCAGCCTGCGGAGTGAAGGGTCCTGGCTTTGATTCCAGTTAAGGGCACATGCCCGAATTGCGGCTCGATCCCCAATAGGGGGCGTGCAGGAGGCATCCTGATTGTTATCGCTCTTGCACTCTCCTTTCTTCTCTCTCTAAAATCATTAAAAACATTTAAAAAAGATTTTTAAATTATATGCACATAGGCTTATTGGATCTAAGTACATTCATGGGGGTTCTCCCTGGACTTTGGATAACTCCCTGTTGGGCCCCTGGGAATCTTAGCACCACTCTCCCCACCTCACTGCCCACCAGCTTGCAGAGGGCCTGGCCAGCCCGACCAGAGTACAGGGGCTGAGGGAGGTGCAGACAGAGCAGGTTCCGTGGGGGCCGGCACTGAGTTTTGCCCAGTTTAACACACAGGGGCTCAGAGTCAGAAACAAGTGGAGTTATGGAAAACAACAAAGCATTTTCCTGGTATTGAGATGTTTATCCACCTTGTTAATTTTACACCCGCGTGAAAATGAGGCCGCATGTGGACGGGAGGTACCAGCGAGGGGGAGGCTGGGTGGGGCTCTAATTGTCATTTATATCCCAGGAGAACTTGGGCAATGTGGTGAGGAGGCCCGAGTCCCAGGGTTACCAGGATGGGAGGGACCAAGGAAGACATTGTCTCCACCCTGCGGGACCACACAGGCTCCAATCTGCTGCTGGGAGTGGATGCCACAGGCTCCCCCGGGCAGTGGGCTTCCAGGGTCTAGAACAGTGATGGCGAACCTATGACACGCGTGTCAGAGGTGACGGAAACTCATTGTTTTGGTTGATTTTTCTTTGTTAAATGGCATTTAAATATATAAAATAAATATCAAAAATATAAATCTTTGTTTTACTATGGTTGCAAATATAAAAAATTTCTTTATGTGACACGGCACCAGAATTAAGTTAGGGTTTTTCAAAATGCTGACACGCCGAGCTCAAAAGGTTCGCCATCACTGGTCTAGAACATTCAGTGTACCTCCCCCTAAACAGCTTATTATGGGATTAGAGCTAGGTGGACCTGGGCCTGAGGGAGGTGCCCACAGCCTCTAACAGGTCCCCTGTCCTAAAGCAACAGAATCCTCTCTGACCTCCCAGCCTCCAGCCACAGACCTCTCCAAACTGCAAAGCAGATGGAGCCAGTCTGCTCCCCACTGCTCTCAGGATAAAGTCCAACTCCTTAACCTGACCCGCTCTCCCCTCACTTTCTCCCCACCTCCCCGCTGGCCATTGACTCTCTCCAATCTCTTTGGTACAGTCCCATTAAACTTCTTTCCACAGCAAACGTACTATGTCCACTGTTGCCACTGGGGCTAGAACAATGTAGAATGTGGGCCCAGGCCCAGAGACCAGGAGATGATGGCCTAGTCTGGAGGATGCCCCAGGAGAAAGGTCTGTGCCGGGGGCTGGGCCTGCCTCCCCTGTGGGTGGCCGGGGCACCCCTCCCCAGGGACCCTTCCCGCTGTACCAGATGGTGCAGAGGTGCCTCAGCCGCTTTCCCTGCAGGGCTCTCTGTTTCTTCAGCATGTTCTCCAGCTCCTTCTTCACAGCTGGAGGGTCCTGGATCCTCTCACTGGCCATGAACTCACTGGGTATCCAAACACATTGACACCATGGAGAAAAGACGGGGGGCAAGGTGGTTGGGAGAGATGGGATGAGACCCACGGTAAGAACATTCAGAACTCCAGCACCCTTCCTCCACTCCCGGCCCCTTCCTCCCCACCTTGGGCCTCTGGGACGCTGGGGAAAGGAGGTGGAGGGGCGGAGGGGGGCGGAGGGGAGATTAGAACCAAGGCCCTGTCCGCGAGACTCTGGTGCTAAGAGCATGAGACCAGCAGGCTCAGACCCGGGTGAGGGACCTGACTGCTGCCTGCCAGCTCTGTGACCTGGGGCAAGTCACTGCCCTCCACGCGGAATCTCAGGTTCCTCTTCAGAACGGAGCTGCTGATGACCAGGACCCAGCAAGATATTGCAAGCAACGCCCTCAGCACCGCGCCTGACTCACGGGACATGCCCAGTGATCAGCCCCTGCCATCACTGTTGATGACTACTGACACGTGTTAACCTCCCGGGTCCAGAGCTGACTCTCTTCACGCGGCATCTTGCGGAGCGTCACTGGCCTATCACCAGCCCACCGTGCCCGCTCTGTGCCCGCTCTGCACGAGGAGAGAGAGGCTCCGAGGGGTCAAGTGTGAGATCAAGGTCACAGGGAACCTGCAGGTGGAGCCGCTTTCCTCCGTCCTCCGTGTCAGACTCTGGTGCTCCCATCGGGAAGCGCGGATGTGCAGCTGCAGACCCACAGCACACACGCACAGACCCTGGTGTCCTCAGACATCTTGGCTCGAGGCCTCCCTTCCTTAGCAAAAGCACGCCTCGTTTGTTGGCCCAAAGGTCCAGGGCCCTTGTGTCGGGATGAACAAAAGTGCCACCTGGCAGAGGAAGCGTGGAGACGGGCCTTCACTTCACCTCCCCTCCCCTCCCCTGGGTGAAGTTTGCCATCGGAGTGGGACAGATCGAAGCCGCTCTTTTCACCCCGGTAACGCAAGGCCACGTGGAAGAGTAAAGAGTGGAAACTGGGCAGATAACCAGACAAACGCTGCCAAACAGCTTGCACTGCTCTCAGAAAACACGTGTGAGGAAAACAAGATGCAAATCTACAAACGCAGCGTGGGCCTCAAAACGCCTGTGAGAAACCACCACAACCCCAGCTGCGCTCCTCACTGCAGCGGGGGATGCATGGTGATTTTCAAGTTCCTCTTTATGCTTTTATCTACGTTAACTTTTAAAACAATAGCACACATTACATTCGCCACCAGAAATCTGCAGCATTTTAAAGCAACGGCAAAAAGGGAGGGAGGATGCCACCCCCCACCCCCCGCCTGTGCCGGCCGGCCGGCCAGGGGGCTGGGCAGCCGCTGACCTCAGGCTCTGCAGCAGGACATCCTTCTTGCTGGCCTTCCAGCCGTCAACCAGGCTCTGCCAGCGGCGGCGGCTCTCCAGCTCCTGCTTCAGCGTGGCCTCCATCAGATTGACGAACAGCTGCGCGATGGCCCTCCGGTTGCCCAGCAGGGCCTGGTTTATGACCTGTGGGCACAGGCAGGCAGGCGCTAGGTGGGTGGGGGGGCTCTTGAATGTCAGAGCAAGGCTCAGTCGGACAGGGTGCTGGGAGGCTGGAGAGGGACCAGGTGAGGTGCGGGCTGACGGGGCGGGAGGGGAGCAGTGCGGCTGTGGCCAAGCAGCGGGTGGTGGTGTCTGAGGGGTCCTGAGGGGTCACTGGGCACTCAAGAGACTGCCCTGGGCTCCATAGCCATGGCAGTGACCAGAGTCTTTCCCAAAGGCTTAACCACGGGCCGCGAGCGAGCTTCATCACAGCTCCAAAGCCACCTCCGACTGTTGGTTAACGACGCCGATGTTGGTTCGCAGGAGTTGAGCACCCCAGCGGGCTCTCGGCGTTTAACTGTTTTCTGTTTTGTTTTTTAATAAATTTGTTCCAAAAGCAGAGCGCCCAGGCCATCAGGGACCAGCCACATAAGGCCACGCTGAGAGCCGGGATCCCGTTACCAAAGGGGGCTGGAGCGGGAACACCCGTAGGCAGTCCTCCCAGTTTCTCTCCTGGGCAAGCGTGGCATGGCAGTGGGGAAGCTCCTCATTGTGTGGCACTGCTCTGCCATGTACGTCCCTGCCCCCTTCATGGAAAGCAGCCCCTCCCACTCCCCCAGGGGTGACAGCATCCAAAAGTGCCTCCACACACTTCCCGGAACCCTCCAGGCACTGCCCTGGGCTGGGGGTGAGGACCTGCCAAGCCAGTGAGCAGAACTTCCTGCAACGCTTGTCACTGGAGCCTGAGGCTCGCTGCAGCTGCGCTTCCTGGCATTGGTAAGTATCTCCGAACCTCCCCGTCTGCGGCCGTAACGTGAAGATACATACAGCACAGGGAATTCTCGAAATCCAATGAGATAAACGCACACAGGACAGGTGGCATGTGCCAGCGCTATAATGAGTCAAATAAACCTGAGGAAGGCAGACTGTAAAACAAAACCAGGACATGGCTAACTCTGACTCCCCTGATGGAGCACACGGATAAAAGTTAGGAACTCTTGCCTGTCTCAGAGTGAGAGCTGCCGTGGCCGAGTCCCTCTGCTGTCATCCTCCCAAGAGCTGGGGGGTAAGTATGATTGTCCCCATTGTATGGACAGGGAGCTCCAGGGACAGGAGCGGAGTTTTTCACGCCTGCACAGTGAAGAGGGACATCTGTGCTCGCTCCCTGCCCGTGAGACCCCAGGCACAGGCCTGGGCTGAGCCCATCGGCGATTCTGAACGCTGCGCTCCCTGCGCCATTCATTGTCTGGCTGCCCAGCTCTCGGCCAGGACCCGGGAACCCCTGCAGGCAAAACACGCCTCTGAGGAGCCAAGAGCAGCACCCTTTTGTGCAGCAGAGGAGCCAGGCTTCACTGGCTTGGGAGACATTAAAAAACAACCTTGAATTTCTTGTATTTTTCATCCCAAAGAAAGCAGCTGAAAAAAAAACTCATGAAGACAAGCCACCCTGCGACTGTGCCAGCTGCGAGATGACGCCCCATAGTGCAGCCCCGTTGCGCTGCACGTGGCAGCTGAGACATGGCCCGTAGGCGCCTGTAAAGCCGTCAGTGCTCCAAACGATGGCGCTGTGTTCCGCAGACGGAGATTATGACGGCAGGAAAGCATGAAACGCACTTTAGAAAGATTCCCATGGAAAATATTTAACTAAGAGTCTGGTTCTGCACCTAAGTGGTCACAGAGTTGCTTGGAAATGCTACCTGTGAGAAGCCCATCATTCCTGAGGCACCTGGCTCTGGGGCACATGAAAACCACTCACCTTGGCTTCGTTATTTATCAGCCTGTACACATCGGGCTGCATGAGGTAGGAGGTTTTCTCTATGATCAGCACGTATTTCTTCAACACGCTCTTTAGCTAGAAACGACAAGGCGCCATAGTTAGTGACGCTCGCTCGTCCAGGAGAACTGAAACAGGGGATGCCTCACACAAGTGGAAATCACCAAGAGCCCACCCACTGGCGGGCCGACTCACTCTGTCTGCCCGGGAGAACTCCAGCGAGTTCAGTGTCTCATCCAGCTCCTTAATCCCCTGCTTCTGGAGCAGGAACCTCTGGGCCACCTGATCCCATAGCTCCATCAGGGTCTGTGCCGGGAAGTGTAGGTGAGGCTGGGAGGACGGAGGGCAGGGCGGGAAAGAGGAGGAAAGCTGGGGTTGGGGCCCCGGCCAGCCCACCAGGGGCCCCTACTTGGATGTTGTAGTCTACCAGGTTGGTGTCATTTTCCACTACTTTGAAGAGACAGTTGATGTTTTCATCAAACTCAGCCAGCTTTTTTAAAAGAAGTGCTCCTGGCTCCAAGATGAGCGGTTCCATTTCCTAAAACAGGCCAGGAGAGCGATGGCTACAGCATCGATAGCCTCGGGCCAGGGGGAAGCCCCCCAACCTGTAATGAGGAAGAATCGGCCGAGGTCCTGCTTCAAAAATAATACTAATTCTTACACAGAACTAAGGAGTGACGATTCACTAAGTAGCTCACAGCTAGAGCACTGGGGCAGCCAGCACTCGGGGCACAGAGCTTGTCCTCAGACTCACTGGGTCCTCACCACAGCCTGGGAAGTAGGTGCTGACATGTGGCCAGGCCCATGGTTGGGACTCAACAGATACTCATTTAAAAAAGGCCTTAAAATTTAAAAAAAAAATTTTTTTTTAAGAGGCCATAAGCCCTGGCCGGTCTGGCTCAGTGGTTAGAGTGTCGGCCCACACACCAAAGAGTTGCAGGCTGGATTCCCGGTCAAGGGCACATACCTGGGTTGCATGCTTTATCCCCGGCTCTGCTTGTGGTGGGTTCAGGAGGCAACCAATTGACATGTCTCTCTCACATGAATCTCTCTCTCTCTCCCGCCCCCCCCCTTCCACTATCTCTAAAAAACAATAAAAAAAAATGTTCTCAAGTGAGGATTAACAACAACAACAAACAAACAAAAAGAGAGAGAAAGGGAAAGTGGCCCATAAAGAACTCCGGGTTTCCTTCAGGTGGGACGAAGGCTCAGTTATGTTGTGTGACCGAAGCCACCAAGCTCATGTCCCATTGGGGCACACTGGCAAGGTGATGAGCTGGGCCCATGAATAGGATTCAGCGGGGAGATCAAAGGCTGTAAGGCTGGGCTTTGGCACTAGACCTGGAGTCCAGTTCCCACTTGGCCCCTTAAAGGCCAAGTTAGACAAGACTTCCTGGGCTCACCTGTCAAATGGGAGTCATGACAGAACCTGATGCAGGTGACAACATGCACTCAGACGTGTCTGCTATGGTTCTGTCCACACGACGGTGGGCCGCTGAGAAGCGGGGAGCTGGGGGGCAAGGGAGGGTGGGGGCAGGGACACACCTGCCTTCAGAGGCCCAAGGATGGGAGGGGAGCAAAAGCACAGGTTCTCACCATCCCAATCTGGGCGATCTCCTCCTTAAAACTCATCAGAGTGTTCTCGTAGTTCTTCTTCTTGTAGTCCCCTTGAAAGGTGACGGTGCTGACCCTCTCAGGAACTGGGGAGAACAACAGAGGTGGTGAGGTTGTCCTCAGAGCTCCCAGGCAAGGGGAAGGCACCCAGGAAAAAGCAGCAAGGCGCAAAGTACCCCGGCTCAGGAGATGCATCCCCAAACCAGGCCAGCAGTGCCAGAGGCTTGAGGGAAAAGGGGAAGATGAGGTGATCCGTAAGTGCTATAGGAAATGAAGCCTCACATATGCAGGTAAATGCTGGCAGGAAGTTCCAAATGGTATGTACAGAACGGGGCCCATTATGTCTTTTAAAAATTAGTTTTATAGAAGGAAATACATGCAAAAATAAGAATAACAACACTTACATGTGCCAGCTGTTGTTCTACCTCAATTACTTATGGGTCTTAGTTTACAAGCGAGGACACTCAGCTTGGGGTTAAAGAACAAAGGCCACCGGTGGCTGAGCAGGGACGTGGACACGGGCCCTCTGCTCTAGGGTCTGCCATCTCACTCTGCCCTGCTGTCCCCTGAACCTACGCAGAAGCTGAACACCACATGTTTCATGGGGGTGGGCACTCTTGGGAAGAGAAGGGGTGCTATTGGAGAGGCGGAGTTTTTACTTATCTCCTTTCTCCGTTTTTCCATAGTGAGCATGTCTTACATTTGTAATCATAAGGAAAAAGACCCTTCGGCCCTGGCTGGTTTGTCTCGGTGGATAGAGCGTCGGCCTGCAGACTGCAGAGTCCCAGGTTCGAATCTGGTCAAGGGCACATGCCTGGGGTGCGGGCTTGGTTCCCAGCGTGGGGTGTGCAAGCGGCAGCCAATCAATGATTCTCTCTCATCATTGATGTTTCTAGCTCTCTTTCTTCTCCTTTCCTCTCTGAGATCAATGAAGATGCATTTAAAAAAAGAAAAGAAAAGAAAGAGACCCTTCATATTGAGATAAAGTCAACTAAGAATGTGGTATGAAGGAAGAAAATGTGGATTGAGAAATTCTCTTGTGAAATCACAGTAAAGTGAGCATCATCCTTTACCAGCTGGTTTTCCTTAGTAAATAGTGATAGTGCAGGAAGCCCCTTCCTCCTCCGCCAGCTCCCTACCCTGGGAGAAGGTTCAGGGGAGAAGGTTCAGGGGAGATGGCCCAGGGGAGACGGCTCAGCGGGAGCCCCACACAGTGAGAGCTTCAGGTGCTTCTATGTGAAGCTCCTAGGAGGTCCCCAGGGGCCCTCTGGGGCCCAGGTCAGGCTGCCCTTGCTGGTCAGAAGCTCACTGATAGTGTCCGTGAGGCCCCGCACTTCTCGGGCAGCGATGGTGCTCTCACTCTCTTGAGCTTTTTTTTTCTCGGTTATTTTCTTTTCCCTGAGGATAAAAAACAGAAAAGAACAATAAAACCCCAATACCCGCACCCTCAGGGCAGCTCTGGAGGAGGACTGACTTCCTGTCCCAGAGTCCCAGCCCTGAGAGGGTTCATGGCTTGCTCAGAACTTGAAGACCCAAAGGGAAGCCCAGCTTCTGCTACATTCTTCCAAGTGCCCCAGAGGAAGACACAACCCTGGCTTTCCTGTCCTTTTCCCCCACTTACGGAGTCCGAGCTCACAGAGCTGAAATCGTCTGCTCAAGTTTAGCTTCTGAACTTGGAAGTTCAGAAGGAACCCCTGATCTTTCTGCTCCAAACCCACCGGCTCCCATCTCAGGAAATGGCACCTCAGCTGTCCATCCAGGAGCTCAGGCCAGAGACCTAGGGCTCCGCAAATCCAATCCAGCACCTGGTCCATGGGTTCTGCCTCTAAAATATACTTGACATGACCTACTCTCCCTCTTGAGGTCCCACCAAGCTTAAATGGACTGCTGTGGCCTCCTGCCTGCCTCTTCTTGCAGCTCCCCAGATTCTGCACGTGGCACCCAGAAGGCCTTAATAACGAAAATCAGCTGCTCGCTTCAGTAATGTCCAAAATACCGACTGTGGCGTGCAAGCCTCTCCCAGCCTCATCTTCCTCTCCCCAGGCCACTGACTTCTTCAGCCTTCGGCAGTGTACCGAGCCCATCCGGCCTCAGATCCGTGCCCATGCTTCCCTTCCCTCATCCGCTGGGCTCAGCTGAGGCCCCTCCTCAGAGAGCTTTCTGGACTTCCGTCCCACTACCATCCTCTGTGTCAGAATCCTCCCACCTTTGGGGAAAACATCTTATTTATTTACTGTACAGGCCTCAAATTCCAGGAGGGTGGGAGCCCCATGCCTAATGTCTGGCCCTCGGCACTTAATAAATAATTTGGGGTGGGGGGAGAGAAAAGGAGAAGCAAAAAGTCCTAAAAAGCAGGTGTTATTACCTCCCTGGTACTTCCTTCCTACCTAGCACTCATCTTGTGTGAGCTCTTTTTGAGTTTTTGAAAGCTCTGCTGCACCCCCAGCGTGTGGGCATGTGGCCTGGATGGCAGGACCTACCGGTAGAAAACAGGGTTTTCCGTGACCCAGTCATTGGGTAGGCTGTGCATCCACTTGTGCTGCCGAGGGGACAACATCTCCCCTTCAGGAATATCCACCTTCTTCATCAAGGGCTTGCTACTGTTCTTCAGGACCCCCTCTCGATTCCTGGAGATCACCAGGGAGTGGACCAGCTGCACCTGAATCCAAAGAAGAGCCAGCTGGGGGGAGGGGTCAGAGCACAGACTTCCCAGCACCCTCAGGCTGACTGCAGGCCCAGGAGATCCAGTGGGAACCTGCCAGTAGGAAGGGGCTTTGCAGGAAGGCCTCCAACCCCAGGTAGGGCACACCACATACAGAAGGGCTCTCCGCTCCCTATAACAGCCATTCAGCCACTTCTAGGAAGACATCTTTTAAGAAATTTTAATGAAGACCAAGACCAGCATTTTTATAATCACAAGGAATTCAAAAAAATGGAACTGTCCAATAATAGGGGATTGGTTGAGAGGATATTATAGGTGCCTTCAATGGAACATTAGGCATTTATTAAAAATGAGACTTAGGATTTTTGTGACATATTATATGACATAGTATATGATATGATATGCTATAAAACATATCAATTAAAGGATAGATTAAGCCTGGCCGGCATGGCTTAGTGGTTGAGCATCGACCTATGAACCAGGAGGTCACGGTTTGATTCCTGGTCAGGGCACATACCTGGGTTGCAGGCTCAATCCCCAGTGTGGGGTGTGCAGGAGGCAGCCAATCAATGATTCTCATCATTGATGTTTCAATCTCTCCCTCTCCCTTCCTCTCTGAAATCAATGAATTATATATTTTTAAAAAGGTAAATTATAACCTACTGATACAGTATGATCTCAACATTTTAAAGGCATAGAAAAATGACCAAAACATTCTGGTGGGACAGGAGTCTCTGAAACGTACAGAACATATGCCAAACATTAAAAATGTTGTACCGCTTCCAGGGAGTAGGATCATGTGAGTAAGGGTCATTTGTTTCTTTGGTCTCTTTATCCTTTCATAATTTCCAAGCCTTCTATCAAGAACGTTTTTTAAGGTTCAAAGGAGGCACGCAAATCCCTTTTAAAGAAGCAGCACAGAACTTGAAAGGATGTGTTCAAGTCTGCGTGTTTCTTTTAAGATTTGTTTTGTCTGTGCAGTGTTTTATAGATGACAAGGCAATGACACCAGCTATGTTACTTTAATACATTACAGGACCTAGTTCAACTAGGCAGCCACGAAACGTCGCAAAGTGTATGAATGCCTACTGACATGGGGAAGGTCTGTGAAATACTATTAACAGGGAAAAGCAGGTTTCAAAACACTAGTATAGAATCAAACCCAGCTTTTATTATTTATTGATTTTGAAATTAAATATAATTTTATTGATTTCAGAGAGGGAGGGAGAGGAAGAGAGAGACAGAAATATCAGTGGTAAGAGAGAATCATTGATTGCCTGCCTCCTGCACACCTGCACTGGGGACTGAGTCCCCAACCCAGGCATGTGCCCTGACTGGGAATCGAACTGTGACCTCCTGGTTCATAGGTTGAAGCTCAACCACTGAGACATGCCTGCCTGGCTCAAACACAGTTTTCAAACAGAAAAATTAGAAATGTTTTTATTCATAGGAAAAAGGGCACCCAATGGTTAATTCTGGCTATTTCTGAGTAATTTAAAGGTTTTAATTTAAATTTTCTAATTTTCAAGAATAGACACTTTAATTTTATATTCTTATACTTTAAGAACTAATAAGAATTATTTTTTAAATTGAAGCCATTTTCCAAGCCTTTATTTCATTAGATTACCAGGCAAGGAAGACCTCAGAGGGAGGGAAGCTTTGGAGGGAAGAAGAGGAAAGTTTGGGGAACAGAACAAAGTGTGAGGAGCAGGAAGAGGGGAGACAACAGGACAGGCCTACCTCAGCCTCGAAGATCTGCTGGTAGACTTTTCCGCCGGGAACCTGGGTCGCCTTCCCCACCGAGGACATCTTGGCCGCGGGCTGGACCGTCCCTGCAGGAAGCAGACGTCCGAGAGTCACGGTGGGGTGGGCTCTCGGTCAGACCTGAGGCTGAGAGGGAGCCTCCACCCTCCCAAGGACAAGCTCTCTCCAGAGGACGTGGCCCCGCACCTGGGGCGGGACCCCACCAGCCTCAGCGTTTCTAACAAAAAGGAGGGAGGGGCGAAGAAGCAAAAGGACAAACCTCAGGCAAGAGCTGAACTCACAGAGAAGCCTGGCTCCCCAGTCGCAGGTCTCAAACCCCAGAGGGACTTTGGGGTGAAGAATAATAAATGTTAATTGTTGGATGCTCCTCTCTCCGAGCTCTTTTGGGAAAAGTCAACGTGTCCAAGGTGTCAGATGGGATATCAACCCGACCTTGAACTCCCAACCTGGCGCTGAACACGGTCTCCCCGAACGCCCCCTCCTGACCCCCAGCCCTCTCCCCCTAGCCCCCCACGCCGCAGTGCACACAGGGAGGGGAAGTTGAGATGGAGCAGCCTGGCTCTAGGCTCCCACAGGTGCTGAGATCAGCAGGCTCCGCTCAAGCCCCAGCCCACCCCGCGCCCCAGCCCACCAAGGAGGGTGGGCAGCCCTGGACATCCCATCCGAGCCCGGCCGGCCGAGCAGAGGGAGGTCGGAGCCCAGGGCGCGGCCTCACCCCAACTTCAGAAAGCACCGCGCAGGTCAGCCAGGGCCGGCCCTACCTCTTCAGGAACAGGACGCGCTTGGTCTCCAAGGCGACGCGGAGGGGCGGGAGTCCCGCTGGCTCCGCCCCCACTTCCTTTCCTCGCGGGGCGGGGCTGCCCTGGCGACGGGGGCGCCCCCCTGTGCAGCAGGGAGGCTCCTGTCAACCCCGCCATCCCGGCCAGGTCCCCTCTGTGCAGGGGCAGCTCAGGGCTGTGGGGAGGGTGCCGAGCAGCACACTGAGTGTTCCGGAACTAGTGGGAGGCAGGCACCGCGTGCAGCGCCCAGTCCTTCATGACGGCCAAGAAGGTCGGTCCTACCTTCTTCACCTTCTTAACACCAGCCTCCGAGTGGTGCTGGGCTGCAGCTCAGAAGTGGAAGCGTCTCTAAGAGAGAGAGCACCTCTTTCTCCGTTTAGAAGAGGTTGAAAGGCTCAAAACTTAGGCCTCCGGGCTTGGAGTTATCGTAAGAGGCTAATTTGACAATTCTCTGATTCATTCATCCTACCCACCACTGCCACACGGCCCTCCTAAAGTACAGCTCTGCCCTCCCCACTCTCTGCTCACCAGGCCCTCAGCCCACAGCTCCTAGGTGACCGCAGAGGCCCCGCATCTGGTTCCGCCGTGACTGTCCCTGTGTCAGCTCACTCCTCACTCTGCCTGCATCTGCCCCTGCCCGTCCTCCTTCTCCTCCTCTGCTGGCATCTGCCTGTC